GACCCGAGCCGAAGGCAGACGCCTAACGACTGAGCCACCCAGGTGCCCCCAGACTCTCATCTTTGAAGACGGAGGACAGATGCTTAAAAAGTAAAACAAAAGCTAGTCCTTCTGCAGACCAAAGGCACACAGGGACCTCTGCTAAAAGCGAACAAGATGTCCCTCAAAAAAAATTAAACATGAAATTACCATATGACGCAGCAATTCCCTAGGTGGGCATATACCCCAGAAAGTCAAAGAAGAGACTTGAGCAGGTATTCAGACACCCATGGTCATTAGGACGTTATCTACAATAGCCTGAAGGTGGAAATGACCCAAATGCCCCATCTGCAGATGCGAGGGCGAACACTGGCGTATTCATTAGCCTTCAAGGACACTCCGCTACGTGCCACAGCGCGAATGAACCTCGAGGACATTGTGTTAATCAAAATAAGCTAGACACAAAAAGACAAAGACTGCATGATCCCAGTTATATGAAATTTCTGGAACAGGCAAATTCAAGGAGACAGAAAGTAGAACAGTGGTTATCAGGGGCTAAGGGGAGGGAGGAGTGACAAGTTACTGTTGAAGGGGCACAGAATTTTTGTTTGGGCTGATGAGAAAGTTCTGCAGGGGGATGGTGGTGTTGTTTGCACAAGAGTGTGAATGTACTTAATGCCAATGAAATGCATAAAGATGTTTAAATGGCAGATTTTAGGTTACAAATATTTTCAGATTTCCTTTTCAAGTGCTCGTGGCCGTGTTCTTTCACCAGCGTCACCGGTCCTCGCTCGAGCTGAAGGCCCGCCTGCGGCTCTCTCGCACCCCCACCGAATCACCCAGGCACCGGCGACCCCGAACCTCTCCTCCAGACCCACACAGGACCACGGAAAACTGTACAAGGCGGGGGAAAACACACTCCAGCCAGCTTTGCCTTGCTAGGAGTACAAGAGACCGGAAGTACACTTCACAACTACCAGGCTCCCTAAAATACCTTTGGGGACAGCTCATTCGGTCCTCTCGCCCACAGTTTTCTAGAACAGCACAGTCCAGTGGGACTTTCTGTGAGGAAGAGCATGCTCTCTTCGCTGTGCCTGCTGAGCCCTTGAAATACAGCTGGTGACAATAACGGACTGACTTATTGCATTTAAACTGACTTCCTTGTGAACTGCCCCCTGTGGCTAGGGGCCACCGTGTTGGACAGCGTGCTTTTAGAACTTGTACAAAGAAGCCAAAGTGACAGATTTGGTTTTCTGTGCGGTTTGTGTTGCCGCTGTTCTGTTTTGTTTGGGTGGAGATGCCCAAAGTCCGTGAGTGGTAGAGATCAGGAGAGGTTGGGGCGGGGGGGGCTCTCTGTTTAGTCCATAAACCCACTATTGGACTTGCATAGGTCTTCGGTCAAACCCATGCAAAGAATTTATTAGTTATAATGACGTACCGAGAAATGATTTAGTCAAGACCAAGCCAAGGTCAACCAAAGGAGGTACACGATGCAGAAAATTCTAGGCAATCTGGGCCCAGAGCAAGAAAAGGTGAGGTGCCTTGTGTAGTTCTGGGATCCAAAGCCCAAGATTTCTGACCGGACTTTCACACCGAACCAGAAGGGGTCCGGTTAGTAGATGAAGGCTTGTTACACACACACACACACACACACCCGAGTAAAGCCGTGGCACCCCCGTCTTCAGAGTTGGCACCAGCAGGCAAGAGGCTACAATTGTGCAGCACAGCAAGAGACATTTCACCTTTCAGAGAAGAGTCTTTTCAAACTCTAATTTAGGAGGAGGATGAATAGAGGTCAAGAAAACCGAGTGGTTCTGGGTGAAGTGGGCTCCCGAGGAACTTTTCTAAAAAGACGTAGCACTGAGGAGTACACTCTGAGTGGTCAGAAATGTCAAGAGTGTTTTCAACGGGCTCAGCTGCCACTTTATTTGAACAAGCCTGACACCCCGCCCCCTTCCAGGTGGGGAGCATTTGCTCTGCAGAAAACAGATCCCTGTTGCCTCTGAGAATGGAGAACAATACACCTAGGTTACTGCTTCCGCGTCGGGTGGCCAGGGTCTCAAACTCCCCCTGTACCTTCTCACATGCTTTTAGGCTTAGGGTGGGCACTGTTACCACCTCTTGACCAACGGAGAAAGCAAGGCACAAACCAGGTAATTACCGTCCCACGTACAAGGCTTATTAATGTCACCCAAGCGCCAGCGGCTTGTCACATAGATTCCAAAGATTCGGTAAGGAAAAACATCCAAGCAGCAATCCATTCCACACCTGGAGAAACTTGCCAACCAAAAAGTATTGATTTTAAGACCGGATTCTTACCACAGGCTTATCACAGTGAGCTTGGAGTATCTAGTATCCCATTCCAGCAAGGAAAGACACCCGCCCCCCCGGCCCCCAAATGCTTCTGCATTACGGGATAAAATAGATCTGTCACACTGGTGGTAGAGCACAGCCCCACCGTCTAAGTGTGTTTGGGGCAGGAATTAAACTACTGGAAAGAACGCTGGGCATTTCTAAGAGCACCTCCCCCTACACGTAGATCCGCGCTCCATTGTAGCACAGGGATTCCCACTCTCGGCTGCAAAATGCAATCATCTGGGAAAGCATTAAAAACTCGTGGGGCCTCAGATTGTGGGATCATTCGTCTGGGATACAATCTGGACAGGAGGAGTTTTAAAAGTTCCCCAGGTGATTCTAATGTGTAGCTAGGGTTGGGGCCCACTCACTGCTGTAAGGGACAGGGCCGGAGGGAGGAAGTAAAAGCCGGGTGGGGAGGAGGGCTCCGCATCATCTGGGTTACGGGCTGTTTCTTGGGTCAACTGCTGTTTAACGGGATCGAAAAATAACGAGCTTAAATGCCAGCGGCGTCCGTTTTCTTATCTGTAAAAAGGTACAATGCCCCTTACTCTCCCCTCGCGGAAAGGCAGGGCGGGCCGGTGGTGAGAGGCACGGGAGGCTAGGCTGGGGAGGGGCCGGGGCCGTGGCGTGGGCCAGGGTCAGGAAAGCGGACAGGGTGGGGTGGTGTGGAGTGCGGGTGAAGGGGGCATCCGCCTCACCTGCGTCGTAGAAGGCGTCGAGCACAGCTGTCTCCCCGAAGTCGAGCTCCCCGAAGGGCACGGAGATGAACTGGGCGCCCTCGGCCTCGCAGGCCCGCAGCAGGCACTGGCGCGCCCCCGCCTCCT